CCGCGGAGAAGGGGACACCGAGGCCGGCCTCTGGCAGGGGGGGAAAGAAGGACAGAGAGAGGGAGAGAGGCGGAGGGGAGGAAAGAAGAGAAGAAAGGAGAGAGCGGTCTTTAACGGGGCGCACCGGGCCGGGGGCTCGAGTCACAATGTCAACGCACATCGCATAAGGCAGGCTACACAGACGCTACTCTGCACCTTCCTCTCGCCTCAGCCTCTCGCCCTCAACAACGTGGATCATGCAAATCTCCGCATGCAAAACGCAAAAAACGAAGAGAGAGGGGAGGGGGAAACAAAACGAAACAAAAACAAAAAAGCCAGGAAACCCAAAATTGTCGGGGAGGGAGAGCTCAAAGGGAAAGAAACGACCCCCCCCAAACATCTGGAACGAGACAAAAGCAAATCCCTGGCTCACCGCCCGGCCCAAACGAGAAAGGTGAAAGGAAAAGGGATGTAAAACCCAAACGAACTGAGGAAAAGGAGGAAAAAAAGAAAAGATGAGAAAAGGGAAGGCAGTGGGGGGAGAAGGGATGGCAGGGAGAGGGAGCAAATTAGACTGAACTGCAGGATCAAACCAAAGGGGACTGGAGGTAGTGGGACCGGATTGTGGGAAGGGGCTGGGAGCTCTGCTCACATAGATGCATGCACATATATATACACATATATATATATATATATGTTTAAATATGCATAGTTATTACATATAGTACAGATTTTGGCTTAAAACAAATCAAGAAAATGAGGAAGACGGCACAGAGCAACGATGGAGGGCAAGGCAGGGAGCCACAGGGGACGGGCAGAGAGGGTTGAAAGAAACCAAAAGAAAGAAGAAAACATCAAAAGAAAAAATCAAATAAAAAAACAAACCAAAAACTCCACAAATGTCATCGTTACTGAGATAAACGAATGTCTCTGAACTCTTCCTGGGATACTCATTGATTTTTTTAGCTGTGACTCTGCAGGGAACTGCTAAGTTCTCATCAGCACTCAACACAGACTTTGCTTTCTGCTTCCTTTTATTTTTTTTCCGTTATATGCTTTTTTTTTTTTTAAGTCCCTCTTGGTTAACATCCACTTACCAAAAAAGTGGCATTTCCTCCTTTAGTAGGTAAGGTATGAAGAGAAGGGAAAAGCGGGGCAATATAAGTGCATCATTAGATTCACAAAAATGCAAGAGAGAAAGTAAGAGAAAGAGAAGAGAGAAAGCGAGAGACAGTGAGAGACGAGAGCGAGGAGGAGAAGAGAAATAAAACAAAACAGCTCGCCTGGCCTAGGCCCGCTCCCTGGCTAAGCTCACGCGGCGCCGGCGCCGCAGGGCCGCCATGGCGGCGGCAGCGAGATGCCCTTGGTACCGAGTGGATTTGATCGAGAGCCGGTCCCAGGGGCCATTTCTGCACAGGCTCCATCCTCGCATCGCCTCCGGGGACGCCTGGGCGCTCGGCCCTCGCTCCTGTGAGGGGACAGCCCCATCGCACGTCGGCGATGCTGGCCGCCATGGATAGCAACTTGCTGAGTGGCTTTCACTCACAGCAGTCCCCAAATCTTCCCTGTTTATTTAGTTTTCTTCACCCCCTTCTGAATTCTCCTAGCAAATATCGGGGAGAAATCCTGATGGAAACCCACCCCAGCACCACGCGAAGGCCGGGAGCGCCCAGCACCGCCATTTCGTGACAAAGGCAAAGGCAAAAGGGGGCAAAATGGCAGCCATGGACATGAACCATTGGCTGTGAGGGCTCCATCACCACAGGGCACCTTTGGGGGTTTCTCTCCACTGTCCCCAGTGCCCTCATGGTCCACAGTGCTACAGAGAGGGTGGCTGCAGGGCTGAGCCCGCCATGGGGCCAAATAGGCCCATGCACAATGCCGATGAGCCCGTTCCTCCACTGGTCCCTGGCCTCAGTCACACGGGGTAAGCAGCTCCCTCCAGCCTCCTGTCTGCCCCCTAAAACCCACAAAACGCTGCAGGATGGATGTCCCAGACCCTGGGACAACAGTGGCCATGGCAGGTGCATGACCGAGGGGGACGCGGCCCAGTGCTGAGGGGGGTCAGGCATGGCCAGGCTGTGGGACACCAGCGGCATGGACAATCCCAGTGCCACCAGCACCAGAGGGCACTGGCATTTCCTGTATCCATTTCTTAAGGAATTCCTTTAACAAGCTGTTGGCTTTCCAGTCGCTTTAGGGAGCAGGGTGGGGAAAGGCTGCTAGGAGCGAGCGCGGTGATCGCTGACCCTGCAAACAGCAAAACCACTCCGGAAAAGCCACCAGGCGCATCCAGGAGCCGGCCCTGCCACAGCACCAATCCCGCCGGGAGGGGAAAAACAAAAGCAACAACAACAACAAAAAGATAGAGTGATATAGAAAGAGATTTCCTCTTAAAACGCAGCACTTCCACACTCAGCAGTTTCTGCCTCCGCTACGCCGGCACCGCCGCCGTGCCCGCGCGCTGCCGCTGCGTCTCGCGCACAGGGCTTGTCCCTTCCCTTTGTGTCTAGCTGCCGCTAGCTCTGCTCGCTTTGTTATCCAGCCCCTAAAAAGCTACAGAGGAAATCAAATCGACTAGACGTAATCGTACCGTTTATGGCAACAAACACAGAAATCGGAGGGCTAAAACACACAGAAATGCATTCTACCAACAGAACGAGTAAACGAGGAAGAGAAAAGGCAGGAAAGAAAGAAAAAAAATTACATGGACAGAAAAAAAATACATAGAAGAGCATGGCTTTGTAGCTAATCGAGGGAAAAAAAGTACAAAATTGAAAAGTTATATATAGCCACCAAAAAGAGACAAAATGAAAGAGACAGAGAAAGAGAGAGACTGAGAGAAAGAAAGAGAAAGAAAGTAAGAAAGAGAAAATAACATTAAATCAAGCTACGGTGCTTTTCAACAGGCTCATCTGCAGAAGTGAACGTGCAGAGGTGGACGAAATACCTACCTTCTGAATTGTCAGTGACAGGAATGCAATAATAAAAAAAGAAAACAATAATCTCCACATTTGGAGTGCAGAATGGGAAAAAGACAATGACTCTTTAGTAATGTGATTTAGACCCCTTTGCTAATAAAGCTTGCTTCGCTTAGATTTCCAATCTTTTTGGTCTCTTTTTTTTTTTTCTTTAATTGAAAGTCTCTGGCGGGCAGCCAGACGCGGCGGGTTTGCTCGCTTGCGTGCATCACCCGGCCTCTACATAGCAGCACCGCATTGCTGTCTCAAAAAGGCGCTACGCAACATTACAAAGTCCCAGACCACATGCAAATAAAGCAACAGATGGAGGCAGACCATGTCAAGGTTTGTTGGGTCGTTTTGGCACCGGGATCGACTCGGAGCGGCCCAAAGAAAAAAATAACAGAGAAAGAAGTGCTGGAGAGAGTGCGTGTGGGAAAGAGAGAGCACGAGAGAGAGGAGGAGGAGAGAGAAGGAAGAACGAGAGAGCGCGAGGATGGAGGGGAGCCAGCCGTGGGGGGACGCATGGAGATGGGGACTGTGCATTTAAAAGGGAAGTTGAGTTTTGGGGGCAAAAGTGACTGATTGGGGCATTCCCCTGGCATAGGGGAAAATGAAGGGCTCAGCACCACTTTCACCGCACTGCAAAGGGTGCTGGCCACGAGCCCTCCCTCCTGGCTCCGTCCTCCAACTGGGGACTAAGGAGGCAAAAGGCAATTTGCTTCCCAATTTTCTAGAGCCAGGCAGCTTTTTGCTTTAGATCGGCACAGTTACCTTCCCTTTTAAATCCCTTGGTCAAAATATAGAAATGGAAATACAATGTTCAACGATTGTAAATATTAAGAAAACACATCTGCTTTTTTTTTTTTTTTCTTCTCCACATTAACACACACAAAAGCAAAAAGTTCTAAAACAACACAACGACGACAGGAAAAAAAATAGAAATATATCGTTTGCATTTCTGTACATCACGAAGGAAAAAAAATAAGTCGTAATAAAGGAAACTAAACAAGGAGGAAAAAAGAAAAAGCACGTTTCATTTCCCTTCCCTCCCCCTCTTCCCTGCTTCTGCTGAGCAAGAAATGGAATTGTATATTACCGTTTGGGTTTTTTTCAAATGGGAGGCTAAAGAAAAACACAGATGGGATTAAAAAAAGAAAAAAGAAAGAAAAAAAAAAGAAAAAAAAAAAGAGAGAGAAAGAGAGAAAGAGAGAGAGAGAGAAAGTTGTTGGAGAAAAGTACCACTAGTGCCCGGGAGCAGAAGGAGCTCAGGGGCCGGGGCGATGCTCTCTGGCGTGGGGCCGGGAAGCACCAGGGCTCCTTGGTGCCCCGGGTGATGCTGAGACAGCCCGAGAGCCGATGGCAGCTCCCGGTGGGGGTGTCCCAGGACGGCGCTGGGGCACACGGGCTCGGCCCTGCCTCCATTGCCCGTCCTGCTCCGGGAGCCGATACGGGCCCAGATGCCCCCCGGCAGTAGCAAAGCTGGGGCTGGCTCTTTTGCCCCGCTGGCTAGGCCTTAACGTGAGCGCTTTATCATGGCAACAAGCCCCCGAAGCAGCAGGGGCTTTCCGGGGAGCGAGGCGCAGACAGGGACAGGCAACCCCCGGACAAGCCTCCATGGAGAGCCTGAATTCCTAAAAAGTGAGCACCCAGCGCCAAAACAGCTCCAACACCTGTCCCGAATCCTGTTCCCAGGCTCAGATGCAGAGCGGGATGCCACGGTCCAGAGCTCTGGGGTCAACACCTTCTCCTTGGCGGTGACGGGGAAATAATTTTTGCAGCTTTACCCATTTCTTGTCTGACTGGGCTCAAAGCAGAGGTGCCAAGCACAGAGGTGGCCCTGGTGGGTAGTGTCTGCCTGTGAGCAAGTGGGTGTCCGCTCGCTGGGGGTGGATTTGGCACCTATAGAAATGCCGGCGAGTGCCGTGTCTGACTTCCCCCTGTCCGGGTGTCACCCACACCTGCAAAACCAGTGGGACCAAGAAGGGGCAGCCAGATCACGGTGGGACTTTGCCCCACAGAGCCAGTGCCGAGACCCCAGCGAGCCACCTGGTCCGGCCAGCCGGGTGCCGCGAGCTTGGAGCAAAGTGACCGGAGAAGGGAGAGGAGATGAGGCGGGAGAGGAGAGCCAGGGGTCCTGCTGCGGCAGGAGGGGAGGGAAGCAGTCGGGGAAGCGAACCGTGATCCAAGAAAAGCGTACGTACATCCTGCGGCTGCTGCCCTTGGGGCCGTCCTCGCGGTGCTTGGGGCTCAGCCTGCGGGGACACCGATGGCAGCGGGTGACCACGGGCCAGCACGGTGCAAACTGCGGCCCCAGAGAGACATACGTGCACAGGCAGCAGGACCGACTCCCTCCCGTCCTCGGCACGGCATCGGCCTTGGCCTCGTTTCCATGGGGCTGCCAATCACAGGCCATGACAAATCTGCAGGTCAGGCCTCGCCAAGGAGGAAAATGGGCTGAAAAGATGTATTTGGGTTTTCTGTCTTTCAGACTTTGCTAGTTTGCAGTTTGAAACTTGGCCAGGCACCACGTTTCCAAACAAGACTCTGCAAACAAGAGGCCAAATCACTTTTTGTCTGATCTGCTTTGGAATCCCAACAAAGGATGCCCACATATTCATGGGACTGCAGCCCAGCAAGACTGTGTTAGGTCCATGAGGACTTGCCATGGCTCACATCCCTGCATGGGGTGGACAGGTTTGCCGTGCATCTCCCAGAGCCTGCGCTGCAGTCCTCATCCTCGCTCCCAGGCATCTCAACATCCACATCTGAAGGCTCCCTGCCCTCCTCATTGCCTCTCCACCACCACACAAGGGAGGATTTGGGGCAGTTTCGCTGGTTGCAGCCAGGGCAGGGGCGCTCCTACCTGCTGGGGGATTTGGAGTTGCTGTAATCGGAGGAGAGCGAAGCGCTGTGGGAGCTGCAGCTGCTGCGTCTGTGCAACCGCCAGGCCGGGGACCCGCTGTGGGACCTGCACAGTGCACAGAGATGGGGAGGAAAGGCCAGCTGAATTGCTGGATGGTGACATGGACAGAGGGTGCTGCTGCCACCCCCACAGGGTGTCCTTAGCTTGTCCAGCCAGCCCCCTCTGCCAGTGTGACCCATCCCAGCAAGCCCCACCCCTCCTGGTAAGGCACAGGCTCTGCGAGCCCTGACCAACTGGAACCTGCTGCCTGCCGGGGCTGGAGAAGGGACCCAGCAGGGCTGCCCACTGGCATCTCACCTCTTGCGCTCTTTATTTTTCTCTTTTCTTTTGTTCTTGGGGCTCCTGGACCTACAGAAACACCAAAAAGCTGAAAATGCAGATGCAGGTGGATGGGCAAGGCCCCACATCCCAATAGGCTGAGACCCACGTAGGGGTGATGCCGCAGCTGGACTGGCGCTGGTCACCCAAGGCTCAGCCCCACAACCAGTTGGGGTTTCAGCCCTCGGTGCCCGGCCCTCGCTGTCCTCACAGGTCACCATGCAGCATGGCAGCAGATCCAGCTGCAGGGTCAGCTCTGCCTGGAGATGGCCTGACCCAGAGCTGGGGGCCAACTGAGGAACGAACCTTAGTGTGGCTCCCAACAGGTCTGTCATGACTCCAAACATTGCAAACCCCAAGATTTTTGCTGGATTGGGGAAGGAGGGAAAAGCAGGATTTTCCTGGGGCTGGACCATCCCCGTTGTAAGGCCTGGCAAAGAAGGATGGCTTCTGTCTCCACTGTGTGAAAGTCCCAACCAAGTCGCTCAGTGAGGCCAGCCAGGTGGGACAGGCTAGTGCCAAGGAGAAGGGGGCCATTTCTGGTCTGCATCAGCAGGTTTGAGGGCATTTTCCACCTCTCTGCTAATCCTTCCCTGCTTCACTAACCTCCTGAGCTGATCCAGCCACAGATGGCTCCTTCATCCATCTTTCCCTCCCGCCTCCCTGAACAGCAGTGCCAGCAGAGGGCATCTGCAGAGCAAGGCATGGCCAGGCTTTGCCATAGCGAAGCCTTCCCAGATGCATCCTTTCCTTCCCAAGCTCCGTGCATCCCTGCTCGGTCCCATGGCTTTGATGGGGCAGTCACTTACGGAACCCGCAACTCCGCAGGGTGCTGCCCGCCTGCCCCAACGCTCGGTGGCAGGGAGGGCCTGTCCCCACAGGGTGGGCAGGGGCACGGGAGGGAGGAGGGCTGGGGCTCGGGGAGGAGCTGCGACCTAAACAGGTCCTGGTGAGCTGGCTTCCTGCAGCCTTCGCTCTCACCTGTGTCTTCGCTTCTTCCGAGATCCGGACTCAGACCTGAGGGAGGAAGAGGAGACGGGAGGTGCGTTGAGAAGACTAACAGGGAGGAAAGGCTGGGCAGCCCCCGGGGGACAGAGATGAGTGGGGACAACGGCAGGAGGGGAGGAGGAGGCAACAAACCACAGAACCATGAACCACCGGGATGGGCTGCTGGACAAAGGAGCCCGTCAGCAACGGAGCCAGGAGCAGGGCAGCTGCTGCTCGGACAGCCCTCGAGCCCTACGTAACGCCACCCCACATCACAGGGACATGCCACATCCCTGGCACATCCTCAGCAAGCAGTGGGGTGTCGACTTTCTGGCATCCTCTTACCTCCCCCTGCCTGCCAACTGCCTCCCTCCAGATGCAGTGGCTCAGCTCCTATCAGGCCTGGACTTGGCAGAAGACGGGGACATTAGGTGGTATGCACTGCTGAGGTGGCACCCAGGGCAGGGACAAGAGGATGGGGGGTTTGTGCCTCATCCCCACACATGGGTCCTTGCCAAGCTCATCCCTAACCAGCCCTGTTTGGTGTCACCCCTCTCCTGTTACCCCAGGAGGAAGGAGACGAGGGAGAGGAAACACAGGTGGAAGTGCTACCTTTCTTACCTGTCACGTCTGTGCTTCTTTCCAGCCTTCTTTTTCTTCTCCTTGCGGATTGGCGAAGAGCTGTCACAGCTGCAATAAAGATAAGTGGGAAACCTTGAGCTGAGAGTGAGGAGCTCCTCAGTCCTGGCCAGGGTGCAGCAGGGCCCTGCAGCCCGTCCCCACGGGAGCCTGTCCCTGCAATGCTCCACTTCCAAGCAGTGACTGGTGGGACTTGGACACATGATCCTCACACAGGAACCATTTCCTTAGGGGAATCTGCAGTGGTGACAGAAAGCAGCTCTTGGAGCACGGACTACGACTGACTTTGGTCCCAGACCATTTGCATCCTGCTGTGTCCCATTGCCACCTTGTGGGCTCTGCTGTCTCCAGCAGGAAATGGAGATGGAGGAGTCAGCTTGGGCTGGACATGCTGCATCCCCGTGTGCTGGGGTGAGCCTCCACCCAGCCGAGCCTCCCCAGGCCACCCTGTCCCACCACCCTCATCCTGCAGGGTGCTGGGCTCCGCTCGGCCCTACAGGAGGGCTGAGGCCGTGGGCAGTGGTGCCATGCAAGGGTGACGGGCACGTTGCTGAGCCCAGCGCTCCACACAACGGCCAGGGCACTCACCTGCGCTCCGAGCCAGGTTTCCTCTTTTTGCTGCCACAGGGAAGGCAAAGAAAGGCATGTTAAGGAGAGCAAGTCGTAGCCCCAGCATTAGCTGCACAGGGCAGGAGCACTAACTGCAGATGAGACCATCAGGAGGACGGATCCAAACCCCTCCAAGGGTCCAGATCCTGCCCAGTGCTGTGTCCTGCATCAGCTGGCTCCTTCCTCCCTAAGGCCCCTATCAGCACTTCCAGCTGAGCAGGCTGGAGAGTGACAGTTCATCTCTTAATGCTGCATTTACCCACATCAACTACCCCGTTGCTAATTGCTTGCTTAAATCACATCTCTGCAAAGCAGCTGACTGCAGCCTAACGGTGGTGCCAAAGTGGGGCTCACGGGCACACAGGAGCTTCTTCCGAGGGGCTGGGTGGGAGGTGCGTGTTGCATCTCTGCCCGTATAGATGTGTTGTGCTCAGGGGGTGTATTTGGCATTCTCCCCACGCAGGATGTACATACTGCACTGCTATCTGCTGTGTATATGTGTGTGTTAACTGGGGCAGCGTGGGTCCATGCTCAGGCTGGGTGACGTTTGGGGTGCTGTAGAGAGGCAGCTGGGCAGGCAGGTGGGAGCCTGGCCTGGACCTTGTCTCCAGAGCTGAGCAAGAGCTGAGTTAAAAAGACAGAGTCGCCAAATCCTCCCATTTGGGGGGATTTGAGCCTCAGTAGGGACTAGGGAGCGGAGCCAGGCAGAAAGCCCGGTCCCATCCTGCCTCCTGGCACAGCCGGGGACTCACCGGCTCCGGCGGTGCCCCGATTTCTTTTTCTTTTTCTTCTTGGGTGGGGGAGACGTGGAGCTGCTTGACCGTCGCTTCAGCCTGCGGAAGAAAGCGCACGCGGTCGGGACGGAGCCGGCCGCCCTGCTCGTGGCACAGGCTGCAGCTGGGCACACGGGGCAGCGCTCGGGGACGCGCCGGGGGCAG